AAGATACCCAGGTCTGGTTTGAAGGTGAAACCAGATTCTATTGTTTGTTTGAAACTCAGAGTCTATTCTTTGTTTTTCTTACTCCTGGTTTTATAATCAGGGATCCATGCTGGGGGGATCAGAGGACCCCCTGGGGTGAGGGGATCCAACACAGAGTGGCCTGGCACAAGGCAAATGTCCTATTTGTCTCCACTGTCCTATTGCTCCAGTCCCTGGTCTTCACTTGAAAGATGCTCATGAGAGGCTTGTAAATTCTCTGGATGTGATTTTAAATGTTAAATAAGGGGTGTGGGTCTAAGGCCCCCCGAGATCCTAACACTCAGAATTTTGTGCCTTGGGCAGGGGAAGCGTCTCAGGAGAAGCTGAGCTGGGATGGGGGTTGCTTCTTGCGGTACTTTTGGGGACTGTGTGGTTCCTGGACCTTATGCGGTCCCCTGCATCCACAGCTGCCTTCAGCTGCTGGGCCCTTGTCTCCAGCCCACAAATGAACCTTCTGCAGCAGCGCCAGACATAGATCAGACGTCTGCCTTTGAAGGGGGGTGCGTTCGAGAGGTTCAGCTGTGGCTCGTCTAAGAGCTAATGATGTTTTTTCTTATCTAAGTTCATTTTTACAAGTTGTTCACTATAACTCATTCCACTGAATATTCGAACACCAGTCCCACCACCATTGCCCCTTCCCACCACATATTTTGAATGTTTCCACCCCAAATCTCAAACCATGCCCCCCCCCAAAGCAGAACCGAAACAATTAATGGTGTATTGCTGGTTATGAATAATCCGCTAAAAATGGGCCAATCAAGTTTCCTGAGAGGAAAGTGTGTGAAGATAGTTGTGTTTCATCCTGGAGCAATTAAGCCCTTGTATAAGAGATTACAAACATGTTTATTAAACCCCATCAAATATTGTGTGCTACTCTTGGTACATCAGTGGTGTATGGCCACGAACTTCAGGAAGTAAAGGAATAAAGATATATACCTCATCAGGTTTCTGTGGCATTAACTAACATCACGAATACATAAAGTACTTTGCAAAGTGTGTGAGATATATTTAGCACTTAGCAAATTGAACTTTTCAATAAATGCAATTGGAGACAGCTTGGAGCCACATCTAGTAGGGATCAGGGATTACTCCTAGTTCTGTACTCAGGGCTCACTCCTGTGTGGTGCTTGGTGGACTATACGGGGTGTCAGAAATTGAACTAGGGTCAGCTATGTACAAGGTAAGCATCTTTGGGTCACACCCAGTGATGCTCAGGGGTTACTCCTGGCTCTGCACTCAGGAATTACTCCAGGCGGTGCTTGGGGGACCATATGGGATGCCAGGAATTGAACTTGGGTTGGCTGCATGCAAGGCAAACGCCCTCCCCAAACGCCCTGTACTATCGCTCAGGTTCCAAGGTAAGCATCTTAACCTCTGCACTGCACCTCTGACCCTCATGAAATACATTTAAGTATTATCTCCTTTGTGGATGTGCCAAAAACAAACAAACAAACAAACAAAAACTAGTTATTTGATTTCAGGCCACACCTGTTGGTGCTCAGGGGTTCCTCCTGGCCCTGCACTCAGCCATCACTCCTGGAGGTGCTCTGAGGACCAGATGAGATGCTGGGGCCAGCCGAGTGTAAGGCCAGCACCCTCCCTGCTGTACTATCTCTTCAGCCCTAGACCGTTTGTTCTGGCGCACAAAAACCCAGCATCAGGTTGAGTTTCTGGACTGTAAAAGATTAGCCACGCGGCAGTTGCAGTGTCTGATTGTAATACCTGTTATGTGTATGCGGTTTCCCTCCTTCTCAAAATATTGTATTGTACAGAAGATAGTGGTGCACGCTTGACCACAGGTCCTGAGACTCCAGAAAGTGAAACGACCAGTGGAGTGAGGATAGCAGGTCACACGTGGCAGCTGCCCAGAGACTGGGGCGAGAAGGGCGAAGCCACGTGTGTGCCTTGCATGCAGTCATCCTGGGTTGGATTCTCGACATCAGAGTTGGTCCTCTGAGCACAGAGCCAGGAAAAGCTTATGAGCACTGGGGGATGATTCCTCAACCCCATCCCCCAAAAGCAGGGCTACGTTTTGGGAGTTGCCCACATTGTTCTCTTATCTGCCCGACTCCACCTAATGCCCTACTTTATTCTTGCAGTGACATAACTTGGGTTACTTTTTTATTTCAGGGAAGAATCCAGAAACTCAGACTGAGTGTAGAAAAGACCTGGGGGGGGGGGGGGCGGGAGAGAGCCCCAGTGGTGGGGGCGAGGCTCCATGCTTGAGGCCCTGAGGTAGACCCCAAGCACTTCCTGCCACCACTGCACCCCACCTGGATGTGGCCTTTTTGTACCCCACTGCACCTGTACTACCGAGTGGAGCTTTGCAGGGAGAGGGCTCGGGGCCCAAGCTCCGGAGGGAGTGGTCCGCATGAAACAAAAGATCTGGGGCTGGAGTGATAGCACAGCGGGTAGGGCATTTGCCTTGCATGCGGCCGACCCTGATTCGATTCCCAGCATCCCATATGGTCCCCTGAGCACCGCCAGGTTTAATTCCTGAGTGCAGAGCCAGGAGGAACCCCTGTGCACCACCGGGTGTGACCCAAAAAGAAAAAAAAAGATCTAGGACTCTCCCTCCCCTGCCCCCACTAGCACCCTTCGTTCCCCTATTCTGTACTCCCCACCACCTTTTAAAAACCAAACCAAACCAGAGTTCAGCTCTATTAATATCTATCATGTTGCTGTTGCTTTCAGTTCCTTATTCTCATTAAAAACTTAGAAGTGGTGAGCAGGGTGGGAGATCCCCTGGCCCAGAGTGGGGGACCTGGTACCCTGTTACATAGATGGTCCTCCCAGCACCACCGGAAGCGACCCTGAGCACAGGACCAGGAGTAAGCCTTCAGCACAGCTCGGTGTGGCACAAATGAGAGAGAGAGAGAGAGAGAGAGAGAGAGAGACAGACAGACAGACAGACAGACAGACAGAGAAACCGACAGAGACAGAGGGACAGAGAGAGAGAGAGAACGGGGAGATAAAGAGATCGTGGCAACCAGAGGTAGCTCCTGAAACCGATTGGTGTCAACCAACCAAACTAACCACACTTCAAAATTCACTGATACTCAGATTAGGATTCCTGTTTTTCTTTGCCACACCCGGTGCTGCCCAGGGTATACTCCTAGCTCTGAACTCAGGGGCTCACTCCTGGAGGGACTTGGGGGAACCATATGGAGTGCTGGAGATTGAACCCTGGTCCGCCACACATAAGGCAAGCGCCATGAATGACACACTCTCTCCAGCCCCAGATTCCCGGTTTGTTTGTTTTGGTTTGGTTTTGGGTCACACCCAATAATGCTCTGGTGTTACTCTGTGGTCATGAATCACTCCTGGTGGTACTCAGGGGATCATGTGGGCTGTCAGGGATTGAACCAGGGTAGGCTGCATGCAAGGTTAACTATGCCTCACCCAGATGTACTATTGCTTGGGCCCCTCCTGGTGGTTTCTTTCTTTCTCTCTCTCTCTTTTTCTTTTCCCTTTTTTGGGTCACACCTGGTGGGTGGTGCACAGGGGTTACTCCTGGCTCTGCAGTCAGGAATTACTCCTGGCGGTGCTCAGGGGACCATATGGGATGCTGGGAATCGAACCCAGGTTGGCTGCGTCCAAGGCAAACGCCCTACCCATTGTGCTATCGCTCCAGCCCCATTGCTTAAACAATTTCACACAAAGAGCACAGGTCTTGGGTGGCAAGTTAAGAAACAAACACCTAAATAAACCTTGTTTATTTAAAGAGCTTAGGTCATAAAGAATAGTGAGGTTGGAACCAGTGGCCAAATCCTTCCCGCAAAGATCTCGCTATACATTCCAAAGATTAGAAAGAAGAAAGTTTCTCAGGCCGGAGCACTAGTAGAGGGGTTAAGGTGCTTTCATGCAGCGGACCCAAGTTCCAGCCCCGACACTACATACAGTGCCCTGAGCCCCGCCAGGAGTAATCCCTGAGTGCAGAGCCAGGGGTAACCCCTGAGCACCGCTGGTGGGTGGCCCCCAAACCAAAAAGAGTAAAGGAAGATACCTCTAACACAGTATCCGGAGAAAGCGGAGACTAGAAACACCGGGGTATATGATAGAGAAGAAACCCTTCCCCGGGGTTCCCAGGAACAAAAGACTCAGTTTCGCGGGCCCACTGGCTTGTAAAGCGCAGAGAAGGGCATGACCCAGCCTACGGTCCACCAAACTGGCCAGCCTCGCGGGCAACAACGCACAGAGGCTGACCAGGCGCAGCACCGAGGCGCCGAGAAGCGCGTGGCCGCACCGTGCGCCTCGCCTGAAATTCGTTTCCCCGAGGAGGGCTTGAAGCACGGAGGGGTCCCGTGGGCGGTGGCTCGCGGGGACAGGCGGCCCTCGCCGGAGGGGCCACCTCGGGGCTCCTGCGGCTCCTCCAGGACCTGCAGCCGCGACACTGCCCGGGGGAGTCACTGAGCGCGGGGTCCCCGGCGATCGGGGTCCCCTGCGATCAAGCCCCCCCGCGATCGGGATCCCCTGCGATCTGGGCCCCCCCTGCGAGCGGGGTCCCCTGCGATCGGGGCCTCCCTACGATCAGGGGTCCCCTGCGATCGAGCCCCCCCGCGATCGGGGTCCCCTGCGATCTGGGCCCCCCTGCGAGCGGGGTCTCCTGCGATCGGGGCCCCCCTGCGAGCGGGGTCCCCTGCGATCGGGGTCCCCCTGCGATCGAAGCCTCCCTGCGATCAGGGGTCCCCTGCGATCGAGCCCCCCCGCGATAGGGGTCCCCTGCGATCGGGGTCCTTCCAAGTCCGGGGAGGCCGGGGCAGCCGGGGTCCGGCGACAGCAGGCGCGACGAGCGCTCGGGAGCCGGAGATGCAGTGTGTGCGCGCGTGTCTGTGCGCGCGTGTGCGTGTGCATGTGTGCGCGTGTGCGTGCGTGCGCGCCCGCTTCCCCTCACGCGCCAGTCCCGGCTCGCGCACGGCCCCGGGGTGACCCGCCGGGGCTGCGCGGCCACTTCCGGTCCGCCGGCTCCGGGCCCACCGGGTCGCGCGTCCGCGCCGCTGCGCCCAGCGGCTGCTTCCGGCGCGCCGCCCTTTGACCCGGAAGTGGCCCGGGAGGAAGCAGCTGGTGATGCTGGAACCAACATGGCGGCCTGGGCGCCCCTCGGGCCCTCGGGCTCCCGCCGCTGCCGGCCGGCCGCCGGCCTCCCGCTGCTCCCGCTGCTGGGGCTGCTGCAGCTCCTGGCCGAGCCCGGCCTGGGCCGCGTCCACCATCTGGTGCTGCAGGTGAGGCGGGCGGGCGGGTGGGCGGGCGGCGCCGGCGGGGGGCGGACCCCGGGCCCTCCCCCTCCCTCTCCCGACGGCGGTGTCCACTCTCGGCCCCGGCTGCTTGGAGGGGCCGGCGCGTCCTAGCCTCGCGCCCCCGGAAGGGAAGCCCCGCGTGCCCGCCTCGCCCGCCCCCCGGCCGTGCCCTGCCGGGAGGGACGTGACCCTCCTCCTTCCCGGGCTGGGGGGCTCCCCCTGCACCCCGCCCACGGCGCGGGAGGGCGGGGGGCGCGCACGGGCAGGGAAGCAGCCCGCCCCGTCCACCCCTCCCAGCGCCCGGCGTCTTTGGGAGCGTTTGCCCCGCGGCGGGATCGGAGAAAGTCGCCCGGACCGGAACGCGTGACTCCCCCCCCCCCACCCCGAGTCCCGGGATTTGGGGAGCAGCGTTCATAACTAAAGTAGCACTCCCCGATCGCAGTGCTCATGCCCCCATCCCGCCTGCCTCCGGCACCGAGTGGGGCGCCCACAGGTGCCAGGCATACAGCTCGCCCCAGGATGGTTCTTAGCCCCTAGAGGGGTCGCCGGGGAGACCCGGCTCGGTGGAGAGGCGCTTCGGCTTTGGCTTTGGCTTTGGCCTTGGCCAGTGCCCTGAGGCTCGTGAGGCCGAGGTGGGGACTGGACCGTCCCCGCCCAGGTGGTGGGGTGCTGAGAAACGCAGCTCCCCGGCTTCGGAAGTCTCCTTTTTGGGGGGCGTGTAGTGAGGCCACGTGACTTGCAGCTGGCTCGGGAAATACAAATCCGTGGTAAAGGCGCAGGGGTTCCCCCCCCCCCCCTTTGGGGCTGCCACTCCAGCTGCGTTTCTCGAGGGCGTGGCAGGTGTCTGTTGTCCTGAGCCACGTCTGGGCTAGAGTCCACTGGGACTCTTGTGGGTGTCTTCTCTCTGTCGTCGAAAGTGAATGTTAACTTTGTAACCTGTGTCATAAGCCCATAAGTCACTAAGTACTGACTTATCCCATTGCCAGTACTGTGATTGTTTTCTTTCCTCTAAACTAGGCAGGGCTGGAGGGATAGCACAGTGGGCAGGGCCTTGCCTTGCACACAACCGACCGGGGTTCAATCCCGGGTATCCCATATGGGCCCCCCCCCCCCCCCCCCCCCCCCCCCCCGCACCACTAGGAGTAATTCCTGAGTGCAGAGCCAGGAGGAACCCCTAATGTCGCCAGGTGTGACCTCAAAATCAAACCATAAAATAAACTAGCTAACTTCTTCCTAAATAAACTGAAAGGCCCTGGAGAGGCCCCGTGGGCACCAGCAGTGGGCGGTTTTGTTCTGCTTTGCTTTCTGGCTTGCCAGGGTCTGTGCTTGGGGCTTCTCAGCTCAGTACTACAGGATCAACTTGGGGCGCTGCTGGGAGTTAAACCTGGGGTGCTAGTATGCAAAGCATATCTAAAACTCCTCGTTGAAGGGCATTTCTCCTAAGTGTTCCAATACTCTGTAGACGTGTGATATGGAGGAAATTGAGTTTTTTCTGCACGATGGACCCTTGGTTTTCATTATTGCCTAGGGGCTGGCCTGGAGCCCTGGGTTCAGTTCCTGGCACTGTACACAACAGACACGGTTCCAGTAATCGTTCAGTGGGTTGGGTGCTTCTTGCATGTAACCGACCTGGGTTTGATCCCCAGCACCCCATAGGGTCCCCTGAGCCCTGCTGGGATGATCCCTGAGCTCTGCCAGATGTGGCCTGCACTGCCAGATGTCAAACAATTATTCATGGGACAGTGTCTGTCTTGCAGCTTTAACCGTTGGTAATATTGGAATGTTCCTTAGTGCTTTCCCCTTTGCTTCTGTTTTGGTATTGTTCCTGACTCTGCTTGGGGACTGCTCCTGGCTGTGCTGGGGGGGGCCCCCCCGCTGTGGTGCGGTGGGGGTTGGGGGGAGAGAAAGTGGCCTCCTGCAGGCAAAGCCCATTCTTGTTATAGTAACGGCTATTTTCCAGTGATTACTAACAGCAGAAACCAATTCCAAGCTAAAGATGGACCGAGCCACTCTCAGATGTTAGGGACGCTGCTTCCAACTCTGGGCTTGTGGGTGAGGGTGAGGGATAATTCTAGTTTCCGGGGGCACCAGGGATGGGAGACAGGGCAGCTGCGAGGAAAATGTCTCCATCAGCTTCAATTGGACGTTTCCGGGCCGAGTTGTGACTCCTACAGTTCCTCATAGACTCTAACTCAGACAGTCAGAACTCTGGACCAGCTACTTAAGGCTGGGTTGGGGGCTTTGGGGTACGGAGCTCGGGGGACCCCGGGCTTGTGGGCAAGTGGAGTATTGTTTCTTTTTTATTTTGGGGCCTCGCCCTGCGGTGTTCAGGGGTTACTCCTGGCTCTGTGCTCAGGAATCACTCCTGGTGGTGTTGAGGGACCATATGGGGTTCCAGGGATTGAACCCGTGTCGGCAAGACCAGTGCTTTCCCTGCTATACTATTGCTTCAGCCTTGTGAGACGGAGTTTAAAGCTTGCTGCACTTTTTTCTTTTTTTAGTGAAGCAAAATAGTTTTATTAAGAAACTTACTTAGAGTAGTATGAGGTGGAGGGGGGAGAGAGAGCGAAAGAGAGAGAGAGAGAGAGAGAAAGAGAGAGAGAGAGAGAGAGTGTATCACTAGGTGTGGCCCAACACACTCCCAGAAAAAGGAAATAAAGTGACATCTCAGTTGCCCTGTCCGCCCCCTTCTCGTTTCCGACTGCTGCGCAGGGGTGCTGGCTATCTGTTATGTGCCCATGCCAGGCGTGCACTGTTTAGAAAACGGGCTGCGGGAGGGGCAGGGCGGGGCCGCCCTGAGTCACACGTCACTCACTCCCTAGTGGGACCTGCTGATCAGGAGCTGTCCTGTGACATGTTCCGACAGGCCTGGGCAGTCCGAGACGGCTGTCCCGCTGGGTGCTTCCCCTTGGTGTGTGTGTGTGTGCGCGCGCGCGCGTGTGTGTGTGAGTGGCCAGGCAGAGGGCACAGTGGGCCTTCCCGGGTTCCATCCCTGGCACCCTGTGAGCAATCGCCGAGTCCCCCAGGAGCGATCCCTGAGCACAGAGCCAGAAGTCAGTCCTCAGCACCAATGGATATGGCAGCAAAACAAATTGCATGTGTGTTGCATGCACGTGTGTGTGTGTGTGTGTGTGTGTGTGTGTGTGTTTGGGCCCCTTCTTGTGGTCGCTCAAGGTCACTCGTGGGGGCATTTCGAGGCCCTGGGACTCTTTCTTCCCAAGCATGCCCTTAGCCCTTGTAGCTTCTCTTGGATTTTTTCCTTTTTAAAAAATTACTTTAAGAGCATCATTCTTGTTTTCCTCTTCGGCTTTTCGGTTTGGTTTGGATTCGGGTTGTGGGTGGTTGGTTTTTTTGGCCATACCCCACCCCGCGTTCCAGCCCTTAGAACAGCTCTTCCGCCCCTGTTTATTTTTTTAGCTCTTGTTTTAAGAGATCAGAGTATTCAACCATAGTACTAGCTACTGGTTTCTAAAGCACCCCTGAGAAGCTGGGCCCAGTATTTGGTGTCTTTGGTTCATCGATGCCCCATGGCAGACGGCAGAGGAAGCAGTTACCCTGCCTCATAAACTGGGATATGGTGCTGAAATTGTGGGGGCAGGGGTGGAGGTGGAACGGAGGAGGTAGTGGGGGTGCCCAGCTGAGTCGGCGCCTGGGGGCAGTGCTCTGCCCTCACACCCCGGCCACCGGCTTTTCTGGTGTTTGGCTTTTTGGGCCACACCTGACAGTGCTCAGGGGTTACTCCTGGCTCTGCACTTAGGAATCACTCCTGGCGGTACTTGGTGGGTGGAACCCGGGTTGGCTGCGTGTTTGGACGGCAGACACCCTCCCGCCTGTTCTACTGCTCCTGCCCTACCCCCTTCTTTCTTGCATTTCCTTCCTCCTTTCGTTCCTTCCTAACTGCCGCAGCGGTGCTCAGGCCTTACTCCTGGCTCTGTGCTCAGGGATCACGCCTGGCAGGGCTGGGGGGCCATAGGCAGCACCTCGAATCCAGCCTACGGCAGCTTAGAGCGAGGCCATGTCTTCTGCTGTTCTCTTGCTCTCCTGATGGACTTCCCTCTCACACCGTTCGAGGGTGGGACCAGCTCCCTCTGGGAGTTGCTGTCGCCCTGTGCTGGGTCAGGGAGGTCCCGCCTCCTGTGAGCCCAGCCCGTGCTGCCACTGCACCTCCCACCCGCCCTGGACACCCTCATTGCCAGCTCTGCAGGTTTTGTTTTCTGGGGGGGCCGCGGCCTGCAGTGCTCCAGGGCGGCTCCTGACGGCTCATGGGTAACTCCTGGTGGGGTTCGGGGGGGCCCTCTGCAGTGTCGGGGATCAGATCCAGGTCTGTGGTGTGCAGGCCAAGGCGAGTCCCTTCCCCGCATGCTGCCATGTGGCCGCCTCGCACGTTTCTGGGCCCCTTGCGGTTGTGTGGCTTGTCCTGTGTCCATAGGTGCTTCCTCGCTCGCTGCACCGGGGGCAGTGGCGCCCACGCTGTGGGCTCGGCTCGCTGGATTCAGAGCCAGCCGCCGTTTCCTCTCCTGTCTTCAAATGTGCCCCGGCCATGTGCATGGAGGGGGGAATAAGTCACTGGACAGCCCGACGCGTAACCCAGTTTGGAGTCCATGCTGAGAACTCGGACTTGCAGTGCTCCGACAGTGATCTAAGTGTGTGTGTTTGGGGTCCACACCCAGCAGCGCATGGAGGCTACTCCCGGCTCTGCCCAGGCCCTGTTCCTGGGGGGGCTTGTGGCACGTGGTACAGGGGTTTGCGCTGGGGGATGTGCCTTTGAGCTGTATCTCTCAGGTCCCTATTTCAAAAATATTCATAAATATTTGAGAATCAGGTCAGAGGGTTCAGCTGGGAGGGTACTTGCTTGGTGACTGGCATCCCATATGGGTCCCCCAGCCTGCCAGGATTGTTTTGTCTCTGCAGAGCCAGAGGTAACTCTTCAGTGCCGCCCAGTGTGGCCTCAAAACCAACAAGAAACCTTTGAATGCGGTGTCTCATCTGATAAAATAGCAACATAAAGAGGTTTTTGGTTTGTTTTGTGCCACGCCCAGCAACGCCCACGGGTTGCTCCCATTCTGCACTGAGTAGTCACTCCTGGCAGTGCTCGGGCAGCCATGTGGGATACCGGCCATCAAACCCGGGTTAGCTGTGTGCAAAGCAAATGCCCTACCCGCCGTACTATCACGCGGGCCTCCAGTAGCAATATAAAGGTGAGGAAATATTTGCCCCTGCAAATATTGCTCCCTCAAAGCAACAACAACAACAACACACCAAATAAAAGCCCGCCGACCTTGAAGAGACATCACGTGCGCTGCACGAGCAGGCCGACGCTGTGTTCCACAGCCTGGAGGTGCTGGGTGAAAGAGAACTGGCCCTCCCCAAGGGATCAAGCCCGCTGACACACCTCGGAGTCAGTCGGAGAGCCGTACTCGTGAGCTCCACCCAGCGAGCGGGACGCGGTGGGAAGGCCCTTGCCATACAGGCAGCTGGCCTGGGTTGGGTCCCCCGAACCCCGCCAGGAGTGAGCCCTGAGCCCTACCAGGTGTCGCCCGCAAACCAAAACACAGAAACCAAAGAAACAAAAATAGAATTACTGCAGATTTGAGGAGGAGCCAGACGCGAGTGTCTTTAGAAAAGTACCAAGCCCAGTACGGGCTGCAGGAAGGTCTGGGCATGCGTCTGCCGAAGGTAGTTCCATCCGGACAGGTGAGTCCAGTGTGGCTCACAGTCCTCAGGAAGGGAGGCGTTTCTGTTGTCCTCTTAAAAGTCATGGCAGCCAGCGGGGGCTGGGAGGCAGAGTGGGTGGCACTTGCCTGTGTGAAGCTTCCCTGGCTTTGATCCTGCCTGCTCCCTGCCCGTGGTCCTAAAAGCCCACAGGCGTCATCCCCTGAGCATCAGCAGATATGACCTCAAAACTTAGAAACCACAGCAGTAGGGCCCGAGCAGCAGTCCACGGGGGTCAAGCACTTGCCTTGCATGTAGCTTAACCTGGGTTAGGTCACCATCACCAGACACAATCCCCAGAGCACTGACCCCGGCATGAAGGGCCTCCTGGGCATCCGCGGTGCTCAGAGTCACTCCTGACAGTGCTCTGGGGACCATATGCTCTGGGACTGGCTGTGTGCAGGGCCGGCGCCTTCCCGCTGTGCTCTGTCTTCTAGTCCCGGGAGCGTTCATTTTGGAAATCCGGATCCCTTTATTCCACTGGCCTCGGCTGAGCGTGGAATCCCACCTTGGAGACAGTGTCAGGGTCTGATGGGCGTTTGCCTGTGTGGCAGTCTCAGCACACCTAAGAGCCCACCTCTCCCCGAGCACAGAGCCAGGAGTAAGCCCTAAGCACTACTGGGTATGCCTCCCCCCATCCCCCCAGACAAGCGAACAGACAAACAAAAAGAGCCTGGCTTCACCTTTTCACTTCTTGGGATTGCTTTGGCTCCCAGAAAATCCTTCACTTCTGCCCAAGTTTCCCAGTGCAGATGAGCCGCCGTGAAGAATTGGGCTGGGATCTAGGAAAGGCGCAGCAGGTATGCTGGGCCAGACAGACTGGGCAGCGCCCTCGACTGCAGGCCCGCTGCATGGCGGGAGAGGGGTGGAAGGCCGAAGTATCATTCTTCCTCCCCCCCCACGGGACCTGCCAGGTCTGCCCCAGGACCCTTTCACATGCTTCTGAGTGAATCTAATCTCTCGGCGTCTTCCTTCCAGCCGCTTGATGGGGCACCTGGGAATGTTTGGGGTGTGTTGGTTGATTTGGGCTGGGCCACATCTGGCGGGGCCCCTGTGCCGGGCCAGCGACCCTCAGGCTTCTGTCTCCCTGTCGCATCTCTTTAGGACGACGTGAGGCACAAGGTGCATCTGAACACCTTCGGCTTCTTCAAGGAGGGCAGCATGGTGGTCAACGTCAGCGGCATCAGGGTGAGCGACCCTGGAGCCATATCGAATTCTGAACAGGTAAGTGCCCACCCCCGGGCTGTTGCTCGGGATAGAGCTGCCCTGGGGGCCCCAAGCAGAGCCACCCGTAACAGCTTGAACAGCTTTAGCTGTCGGTGATTATTTTGTTTGACTGCAGCTTTATTCCAAGGATTAACACATAGCGATCAGGACTTTGGAAATCTGAGGGGAGGCCAGACTCAAGAGCCGCTGTGCTGGGCAGGAGGATGGCTGAGGGGTTCCGGCGCTGACCCCATGGGGTCCCCTGAGCATTGCTGGGTGGTGCCCGCAAGCCAAATAGACCCCACCGAGAACCTCTGTCCCGCGCTTTGTGCAATGGTGGCTGCGGGGTCCAGAGCCCCGTGGACATGTCCTCCTCTCCCTGCCTAGGTGGGGTTCAGCCTGGATCGCACGAAGAACGACGGCTTCTCCTCATACCTGGTGAGCAGCCCGCATTCCTGCCCTGACCTCGGGCCCGGCCCCTGGTCCCCGACCTCTGGCCTGCCCACCGTGCGCCTTCCTTTCCAGGACGAAGACATGAACTTCTGCGCCTTACAGAAGGCCGTGATCTCGGACACCCACCTGATCCTGAACTTCCCCAGAAGCGTGTAAGGACCGTATGGTGGCCACGGACGGGTGTGGGGCCAGCTGCAGGTACTGCCGGTGAGGCTGGGGCCGGAGTGTGGCTCCAGGGCCGGAGCACAGGCTCCGAGTGTGGGAGGCCATGGTCCACTCCCCACACCCTGTACTGTGAGCATCACCGGAAGTGACCGCCCCCCAAATTCCGAACATCCAGAAACCCATGATGGGAGCAAGGAGATCCGAGTTCATGGGGCATCTGGGTGAGTGTGGCAGAAGAGCAGCCACCACGGATCTCACGTGGCGATGCCCTGGATCCCGCACTGGGATGCCACGGATCCCGCACAGGGATACCACAGATCTCACATGGCAGTGTCTCAGATTCTGCATGATGGTGCCACAGATCCCACACAAGGGAGTATCATGGATCCCACACAGGGATCCCATAGGTCCTGCACAGTGGTGCCACAGATTCTACCTGATGATGCCACAGATTCCTCATAGCAATACCACACGGTGATGCCACACAGTGCTGCAACACAGCAATACCACGGATCACGCACTGCACCCTGCGGGAGTGTGGAAAGACTACAGAGGAAGGACCTCAGCAGGGGGCAGCCGCTGCCTTCCCGCCTCCCCCACCCCCAGTGGATTTTGCCCGGCAGAGGGGGAAGGACCGAGCCTTTCTGGGCCCAGAGCTTCCTGTCCCGGCAGGGCAGTGTAAAGGGGAGTGCGTGCCCTGTGGTGGATTGCGTGGCTGTCCCAGGCCTCGGGGTCTGAGGCACTAGCACTGCCCATGCAGTGGGAGCTGGAGGCCGCTGCAGCCTGAGCTCGAGACCCCGCCTTGGCCCGCGCCCTGCCCTGCCACCCTCCCTTGCCGTCACCAGCTCTGCCCCGCACACACGGAGGTCACTGTGCAGGACTCGCTGCTCAGCACTGTGGCACCTGCCACCCTCTGAGCCCCTGACCCTTCTAGGGACACCCAGTGATGGTCTGGTCTTAGGGGGGATCTAGGGTGACTTAGACCCCCAGTGGAGCTTGTCCTGCCACTGCCACGGGTCCCAGCTCCCCTCCGTTCTTTCTCCCGTTGGCCTGTGCGGACAGTGCCTGTGGCGAGTGGGCTGAGATGGGCCTGGACAGCGCGGCCAGTGATTGCAGTGACCATCGCCCACCTGATGTCCATACTCTGGCCCGGGCACTGCCCCTGGGGCAGCTGCGCCTCTCGGCCTCAGGGCGTCCCGGTGTCGGCGTCCCAAGGGGCTTGGGTGGCCACTGCGGGAGTGTGGAGGCCCCTCAGAGAGGCGATGAGCAGAGTGGGCCGTCGGAAGGGGAAGTGGTGGACGCGGGCCCCAGCAGGCCGGTGGCCTCATTTCCCTTTCCTTGGACATGTTAAGGCCCCTGAGGGCTGTAGGGGGGAGTATGTCCTGTTGTGTGGCGACCATGTTCCTTCACGTGAGATCTCGGGGTATCTCCCGGCCCCTCCCACCTGGGTCTCAGCATTTGGGGACCACAGAGTCTCCCTGCGGCCAGCAACGACCCCCTCAAGATGCTGGTGCAGGTAGGTCCCTGAGTGCCCCTGAGAACTTCTCTCCTCCCTTCTGGTTTATACATAGAGTGCAAGTGGAATCCCCGCCAGGAGCTGGGACTCTCTTACCCAGGATCGTCGTGAGCAAAGACCCGAGGGTGCTGGGCCAGGGCCAGGGGCCTGTCGCGGGCAATCAGACCGATGGAATGCCAGGTAAACTGAGGCAGCACTGTTGGGCTATCTTGCACCGCCAGGTCAGAACAAAACATAGAGGCTGGAGCCATAGGATGGTGTGGGGGTGGAGGGGTGCTTGCCTTGCATACGGCTGACCCAGGGTTGATCCCCGCCATCTGATAGGGTCCCCCGAGCCCTGCCAGGAGTGAGCCCTGAGCACAGAGCCAGGGGTGAGCCCTGAGCACAGTCAGGAATCAATCCTGAGCACAGAGCCGGGGTGACCCCTGAGCACAGAGCCGGGGTGACCCCTGAGCACAGAGCCAGGGGTGAGCCCTGAGCACAGAGCCAGGGGTGAGCCCTGAGCACTCAGCCAGGGGTAAGCCCTGAGCACTCAGCCAGGGGTATAGCCCAAGACCAGAGTGGGAGAGCAAACCAACCAGCCATGATCTCTGCGTTATTTGATGGCGAGGTTGTGTAGATGCTCCAACTCTTCCTTCCTCTGAAGACAAGTGCGGGCGCGTGGAGACGCCGGGCCGAGAACACGTTTCTCTTGTTCCCGCGTTCCACTGTCAGACTCGCACTGACTTCTGTGCTGCTCTGAGCTTGCTGGTGTAGTCGGGGATGCTGGATTCAGGGTTGTGCTCGGGGCTCTCTGGGCGCTCTTGCTGACTAGAGATGCTCCTTGCCCGTCACACACCCCAGGAAAGCTCTGGGGTCGCCACCCACCTTCCCTGGGGAGATCTTTCTGCACATCGAGGCTGTCAGAAGTGCGGCTGTCTCCGGCTTCTTTGTTCCCTGGGTCGTTTTTGTGTCTAAAACTTTCCTTCTGACAGAGTCCCAGCACTGGACTGTCTGGGTCAGAGTGACCCCTTGAGGATATGGATACATCTTTTCGATTCTGTACTAAACCAGTTTTTTTAATTTGTCCTTCCCTTGAAAATATATACAAAATATCCATAACGCCCCAGGTATGGTCAGTACTATTACTATGAACCAGATAGCAGTGATACTTTTTTTTTTTTTTTGCTTCTTGGGTCACACCTGGCAACACTCAGGAGTTACTCCTGGCTTTTCACTCAGGAATCACTCCTGGAGGTGCTCCGGGGACCATATGGGATGCTGGGAATCGAACCTGGGTCAACCGCGTGCAAGGCAAACGCCCTACCCGCTGTGCTATTGCCCCAGCCCCAGTGATACATACTTAAAAAAGACGTGTGTGTGTGCTTGTAAATTTTTTTTTGTTTTTTGGGTCACACCCAATGATGTTCAGGGGTCCCTCCTGGCTCTCTCTCAGGAATGACTCCTGGCAGTGCTTGGGGGACCCTACGGGATGCCGGGGATTGAACCCGGGTCAGCCACATGCAAGGCAAACGCCCTACCGCACTGTACTACTGTCGCTCCAGCCCCGGAAACTGTCTTTTTCTCTTTAAAAGGTATAAGGATTGGGGAAACTATAGTAGGTTTGCCTTGCACGGGGCCAGCCCAGGCTTGACGTCTGGCATCCCGTATGGTCCATGCTCATCCCATATGAGCACCAGCAGGAGTGATCCCTGAATGCAGAGCCAGGAGAGACCCCGGAGCATCACCAGGTGTGCCCCCCCCAAAAAAAATAGGAAGGCGAAGAGGGAAAAATAAAATAAAGCATAAAAAATGAAGCGGGAGACTCACCCTTCCCCCAGACAGACACACACTGAAGTGAGAGACGGAAAGTGGTTTTCGGAAAGTGGTTTCCGTTCACGCTTCCTCCCCAGCTGGCCCGCCAGCCCCTCCTCTTGCACTAAGCCCTTGGGCTGGGCTGAGGGCTCCCCCTAGGGGTGATTCACTAGTAGGTCTCTTGGATGTAGTTTTCTTTTCATCTATTTTTCCCTGTCAAAGTTAACGAGGCAGAAGTGTAAAAAGCCCAGAAATGCATTTCTGGCATGGTGTCGAGTTCTTTTGTTGCTTGCTCGAGCCTTACCTGGCCGTGCTCAGGGGGCTGTACGTAGTATTGGGGATTTGAACCCACTTGGCCACATGCAAGCTAGCTCCTTACCTGCTGTGATATCTCTGCAACCCAGTGTAGGGAGCTCTGTGTGTGTGTGTGTTGGGGGTCAGGGGGTGGGACAGGCATACCTGCTGGGCTCAGAGTCTGCTCTGGGTTCTGTGCTCAGGGGTCACTCCTGGTGCTTGGAGAATCATGAGCGGTAGAGATGGGCGGTTCCCTGCAGGCAGAGCTCACAGCACTGTCCCCTGGCCCTGGGATCTGCCACTCAGCACCGGCTGGTGGTCACCTGTCCCGGGAGCCTCAGCTCACACTAACTGGCCCGCAGGCAGGATAGTCATTTCCTTACTGTTGCTCTCTGTTCTCTGGGCCACACGGGTTGATGCCCAGGGCTACACCCGCTTCTCTGCTGGGGGCTGAGTAGATCATGGCGCCCGATTCCGAACCAGGCCTCCTGGGTGGTGCTCAGGACTCGGGACCATATGGGGCGCCCAGGACTGAACCTGGGTTCGCCACATCCAAGGCAAATGCCCTTCCCACTGTACTACCGCTCCAGCCCTGGGCCCCTCTTTACCTTTTGATTCTGACACTTGTTCCCTTCCTGCAGGACAGCTTTGCTCTCGTCCCCAACCTCCTTCCCCCGCCCCCACTCCCCCCGCGCAGACTGTCCGTGTCAGCCCAGGTGCCCCCGTGTGCCGTGGCACCACCCCGGGCAGTTTTAGCCACCTTGCCGTGGGAAGACAAGTCCGCTATCTGCTAATATTCGCTGCTGGTTTCCCAGCTGTGTCGGTGTCACGTGCCTGCCTGAGAGGGCCAGAGAGTGGGGAGGGCACGTGGCCGGCCCGGGTTCTAATTTCTAGCACCACCAGGAGTGAGCCTGATGGGTGTGTTCCTTCCCCCCCTCCCACAAACAAGCAAGCAAAGACCTCGGATAGTACGGCCCGTCCCACCGCACGGCGTGTCTGATCCCAGGGGGCGCACGTCCCTGAGGCTACTGACAAGCCACGTGTGTCTGGTCTCGAGCATGACGTGACGCACTCCCGATCCGTGCTCTGCAGCTGCCTGTGGGTTTGTGGGTCGGGTGACCCCAGGGTGACTCAGCTTTTTTGGGTGGTGACTCGGCCCTGGACAAGCTGCCGCTCGTGACAGGACATTGCAGTGCAGTGGCGGCCGACATTGCATAGTAACTCCCGTCATGTGTCTCTGCTTCTAGACAGCGAAGAGTCGAAAGGAAGCACAGAAGACACGAAGGTAAGGGCCGGCCACCTCGAGGCTCTGCTTCCTGGCCACGTGCGTCTGCCACTGAATGTGTGTGTGCGTCTGTCCGCAACCCCCACGCATGTCTACCCTCGTGTGGTGGCTCCGGCGCCCACTGGGGCGTGGGGACCGCAGCATCGACATGGAGACGATTGCAAAGGGGTGCTGAGGTGCTGAGCAGTAACACGGCGGGGAGGGCCCGGGCCTGGTATGCGGCTGACCGGGTTCCATCCCCGGCATCCCGGAGCCTGCCAGCAGTGAGCCCTGAGCTCTGCCGGGTGGGGCCCAAAAACTAACCGAAAAGGAAAGGCTGGCAGGTTTCCTTTTCCCAGAACTGCTGAGGATTGGTTGGGGTTTCAGATTTAAGAATACGGGGCTTGGGGCTAGAGATAGTACAGAGATAGTACAGCCACGCAGCCCGGCTTCCATCCCCAGCGTCCCAGATATTCCACTGAGCCCACCAGGAGGGATTCCTGAGTGCGGAGCCGGAAGTAACCCCTGAGCATCTCTGGGTGTGACCCCCCCAGAACAAAGAACGTGGGGTTTGGGGCAGGGAGGATATTAGTTTCCGGCGTGGCCCCTGACACAGGTGCTTCTGTCTTTCCAGGCAGTGGAGAGGAACGAGCTTCCTGTCTTCAGCAATAACGGGGCGCTGTCATTCCAGGTGTGTCTCCAGGAGCAGATGGGCTCCCGCCGTGCCGGAGGGTCTGGAGTGGGCCTGTGGAGGGCGGTTTGTCGGGCCCCTTGAGGACAGCAGCTGTCGCCACCACAGGCCTGCTGGGATGGGCTGCCCGTGCCCCACCAGCAGATCAGGAGATTCTGAAGTAGATGGAGGGGCAGGAGCCAGGGGTCTGGAGCTGAGTCTGAGCACTGAGCCCGGAGTAGCCCGCGGGCCAAGAGTGACACTGCAGTTGTGACCCTGATTCAGTCCCATTGAGAGAACTCGGAGCGCTGGCCAGGGTTGCACAGAGCCAAGAGTAGCCTCTGAGCACTGCTGGGCGTGTCCCCCCGCCCCTCCCCCAACACACACACCAGACTGAGAAAAAAAGCAAGAAACGAAGACCTGGATTTGGTTGGGGTTTTCTCTGAGGGGAGTGGGCACACCTGGCAGTGCCCAGGGTACCCTATGGGGTGCGGGGTTAAAGGTGGGTCGGCTGCATGCAAGGCCGTACTCCCCGCTGCGCCATGGCTCCAGCCCCTCCCTTGACCGCCACCCCTCACCCCCTTGACGCCTCTCAGAGACGCAGGAGCAGGATCTCCCTGGGCGAAGCGTCAGTGGTCATTTTGATCATGCCGTCCGTCTCACTATTGTTAGTTACGATTTATTTCTGCAGAGAGTCACCGGTGGTGCTCGGGGATGGCACCGGGACGGCCACGTCCCGACTAGTGCCCTGCCACCGCCCCGCTCTCTGGCGCTACCTTCACGTGCACGCAGTCCCGGTGGTACTGAGACTGTTGGCTGTGTCCTCAGCACCATCCCTTCCTGGGCAGCTGCCCACTGCCCACCCGGCGGTCTCTGCAAACAGGCCAGAGCTCATCCCCCACAGACCGCCTGCTGGCTGCTTCCTCCTGGCCCAGATGTCCCCTGCTCCACGGGGCTTCCTTCCCGCCCTCGCTCTCCGGCTCGGCCCCGAGACTTGGTCCCCTGTGCCCGCACTTTTGTTGGACGGGCAGGCTCTGATCTGTTGGATTTCTCGTGCGTGAGCGTCCCCAGTGAGGGAAGGATGCCAGGCGTGTGCCAGGGACTGATGGGACACCGTCACAGGTGTTGCCCCGCAGTTCCAGCCGCACGACTGGTACCGTCTGCTCTGTCAGTGGGCATTGCTTTTATTATTATTATTGTTGATTTTAGGCCACTTCTGACAGGGCTCAAGGGATAGTATGTGGTGCCAGAGGTCGACCCTGGGTCAGCTGTGTGCAGGGCAAGTGCGTCTGTATGTACCAGCTCTCTGGCTGCTTTACCTGTTTCAGTGAAAGTATCAAAGTTACTCTGGCTGGCCTTCAGGGATACAATGTTTCAGCACCTGGCCCTTCATGTGTCTCCTTCCCTCCAGGGGTCAGGCAGTCTTTTTTTGGGGGGGAGGGTTGTGGCCACACCCAGTGTGCTCTGGGCTCAGGAATCATTCCTGGCATGCTCAGGGGATCCTTTGGGGTTCCAGAGGTCAAACCTGGGTTTGCCGGGTGCACGGCAAACACTTTTCCCACAGTACCATGGCCCCAATCCATTTGAATTTTGTGTTTCCATCTTGTCCAGATTTCCTTTCCTGCCTGCCTTCTTCATTGTGTCCATGCAGTAGGGAACTGCAGTCCTGTTGAGTACAAATAGGATCAAACATCTTTGTAACCACCCTGGCTGTGACCCAGAAACCCAGGCGGCGCTCGTGCCTCCCCAACCTGCACAGGAGCCGCCCCTGAGGCGTGTCGGTGTGTCGGCAGGTCGTTCCCACACCGCTCAGTGGAGGTGACCCTTCCGGACTGGAGCGTCACCCAAGCAGTTTCCTTTTTACTGCCCATGTAGAACTTTTCTAGAATTGATCGGAGGCCAGAGTCTGGAATCTGATCCACGTATGTTATAAACTCTGTGTGTGTGTGTGTGTGTGTGTGTGTGCGCGCGCGTGCGCGCATTTCACTTTGTGTTGAACTTCATCTGAGGCCTGGAGACGGGAATCTAGCACAGTGGTCGCAGGCGTCCTCATAGGCACCTTTTAGCGGCTGGCGCAGCCTTAGCCTGGGCATCGGGAAGGAGCAGAGCCTGTTCCTGGGGGCCCTGAGCTGGACGTGGCCTCAGAGCCTGCAGCCCCCCCCCCCCCCCAGCCACTCCCCCAGGGCCTCAGTCTCTTCAGTAGCCCATGAGCTGCCTTTCGTTTTCGGGAGCAAATAGGAGTCGCCGTCAGGACTAGGTTCCGTTCTGGTCTGAACAGAGCCTCCAGATGGGGGGCCGTGGGCAGTAGGCCCATCAGCTACAGGGTCTGTACATGCGAGGGGCCTGTCAGCTGCAGTGTGTACACATGGTGGGGCTGTCAGCTGTGGGGTCTGTATTTGCGGGGGGGGGGGGGTGCCATCAGCTGCAGTGTGTACATGCGAGGGGCCTGTCAGCTGCAGTGTGTACACAGGGTCTTGTCAGCTTCTGTGTGTACGGGGGGCGGGGGGGGGCGCGGCGGGGGCCATGGGCAGCAGGCCTTGCAATGCTCAGTGTAGAATGTGGGATGGGGGTATAATGGTGTCGTGGCTGAATCTGCTCTTCCACTCGCTGGAAAATACTCAGATATTGGGGAATCCTAGAATATTAGACCATCTGCCAAGAGCCTCTTGCCCGGAGCAGTAGTACAGCAGGGAAGGCGTTTGCGTGGCACGCGACCAACGGGGGTTGTTCCCCAGCACCTCTTAGGGCCTCCTAAGCCCGCCAGCAGTGACCCTGGAGCTGACAGCGAGGAGTCAGCCCCGAAACAAACAAAACCAGCCAAAGCGAAGGACCCACTCTGGGCGGATTTGTTCTGTAGTCTGGTGTTGCTCCGACCTGGTTTCTTCCAGAGATTTCAAAATTGAGCAGCGGGTCTGAGGGTCTTTGAATTTTGTCCTTTTTCACTTTCAGTTTTATTTCAATGTCACCAACGATGACCAGGAAGGCCTCTACAGTCTTTATTTTCATAACTGCATCAGGAAGGTGCAGCCGGTTGGTGGCAGGAAGTTCTCGTTCAGTCTGGATGTGAGTACCAGGCAGGGACCGCTTGTGGGCCAGGGGTGGCCGCCTGGTGCGCTCTGCCGGGCCCGTGTCCAGGACAGAAGGCAAGGAAGGGGGCTAGGTCCCTTCCCTGCCCGCAGCCAGTCCCCAGGGAAGGGCCCGGGACCCAGACTTGGAAGGAACATGGAATTTCATATCGGTTTCAGATTAACATCAGAGAGAAAAATCCCGACAGCTTCCTGTCCGCTGGAGAAATCCCTCTCCCGAAATTATACATCTCCATGGCCCTTTTCTTCTTCCTGTCCGGGACCGTCTGGATTCACATCCTCCGCAAACGACGGTAAACCCTTGCTCCCGAGCTCTGGAGCCCAGAGCTCTGGAAGGGTGTCCCCTTCCGCCCCTTCCCGGGAGCGTGGGGGTCTGGGCACTCGCTCTCCGGCTCTGTCGAGGGCATCGTGTAGCAACACGGGCCCGTCCACTTCTGTGCTTGCTTTTGGAAGCAAGTATCTCTCTCCAGCCCCAGCGAGCACTGGGGGTGGGGGGTAGGGGGCACTGCCTTAGGCTCCCCTGGCAGCTTTTCGGTCCTGGTCTTGCCACTCGAGGGCGTCACAGCCCACTGTGGAGCTGGGGTGAGGCCACACCTGCAGCACCCTACTTGTTGCTGGAGCAGGTGGGCTTACTGGGTTTGGGCAGCAAGTAAACCACCACCAGCTCCCACTTCCCCTCGTGCCCTGGGGCCCAGACCGTGACCTCCCGGACTCCTCCCACTGGCGACGTGCTCTGAGTGATGTGCTCTGAGTGCAAAGCGTCGTTACCCTGTCGCTCCTGCCAGCCACCGGGGAACAAGCTGCTGCTTTCCTGGTGGAGGTGCCAGGTACTCCCTGGCATGGTCCCCCGGGCACCCCCAGGCGTCAGCCCCGGCACAGGACCCTGCACCCTGCCAGGTGTGGCCCCAAAAGTCAAAAGAGAAGAAAAGCAGATTCCCAAGATGGGACATTAAAGGATTTCCTTTTCTTCTTTTTTCTTTTTTCCTTTTGCTTTTTGGCTTACACACAGCACTGCTCAGGAGTTATTCCTGGCTTTGCACTCAGAAATCACTCCTGGGGGTGCTCGGGGGACCATATGGGATGCTGGGGATCGAACCCGGGTCGGCCACATGCCAGGCAAACATCCTACCTGCTGTACTATCACTCCAGCCCCAGAATTTTCTTTTCTGTCTGTGTTATTATTTGGGGTTTGCAGCTGGCAGTGCTCAGGGCCTGTTCTGGCTCTGGGACCAGACCCGTGCAGTGCTTGGAAGGAAACTGCCTCTGACGAGCACAACCTGGCGCCCCGAGCCAGCGAGCCGTCTCCCCAGCCTCCGTGTCAGTGCAGAGAGATTGGGCCAGGCCGGCAGTGCGTAGGGCTCTGCACTCAGGAGTCACTCCCGGTGGGGCCCAGGGTCCAGGTGGGGGCTGGGGATCGAACCTGGGTCGGCTGGAAGCAACAAGCCCCCTCCCCATTTGGCTTTGCCTTAATTGAAAGGCGAGAAGCGGGTGGCAGAGGCTTTGCTTGAGTGACTCTGCGGAGTTTCTGTGTTTTGGGGGATGGGCTGAAAGGTCTGGGGGTGGGGTGGGTCATTCCAGTGCTGAGGATGCCCCTCCTGCTCCCCCCCGGCCCTCTCTGACTGGCCCCTGCCTGCTCTGGACCCGGCCTGGGCCCTTCCCTGCTGGTCTCCGTGTTTTCTCCTGCCAGGCCTCGAGCCTCATTCCTGTCATCAGTGCCCACGAGGCCCCTCACCCGGGATGGAGCCGGGACTCCTGCCCATGCTACCTGTGTGTGTGTGGCGGGTGCTGGCCCTGCCTCCCACCCTGACCCAGCTCTCTGCTTCCATAGGAACGAGGTGTTTAAGATTCACTGGTTGATGGCGGCCCTGCCTTTCACCAAGTCTCTCTCCTTGGTGTTCCACGCGGTACGTAGCGGTGTCGGTCCCCGAGGGGACGAGTGGGGCGAGAAGGGCGGCTGCGTCCTCGTCTCCCCCGACACACACATAGACCTGAGCTTTTCTAGGACCCTTTCAAGTCTTTGGATTCTTTCTCTCTTTTCTATTTTGTTTTGGTTTTTGATTTTGGGTCACACCTGGCAATGCTCAGGGCTTACTCCTGGCTCTGCACCCAGGAATCACTCCTGGCGGTGCTCGGGGCCCTATGGGTTGCTGGGAATCGAACCTGGGTCGGCCGCGTGCAAGGCAAACGCCCTCTCTGCTGACCCGTCTCCCCAGCCCCTTCCTCGCATTCTTGCCCTTACTGAGCTTAGGGCACCGCCTGCGCAATTGTTCCCTCGACCTTTCTCCCGCATGTCCCCGGGAGCCAGTGTTCCCGTCCGAGGTGAGGTTCGCTGAGAATTTCTCTCGTTTGAGGAAAATTTCTCTGACGGTTGCTGCCCTGCAGCAAGGCTATGGCTTGTGGTGCAGGCCCAGCTGCTCTGCGGTGGGCTCTGGTCCCCGATGAGTCAAGGGGGGCTGTAAGTCCCCTTTTGTCAACCCGGGGCTAGCGGAGACATCAGACGGCGCCTCTGTGTCAGCTGGGGCCACGCGGCAGAAACTTCCCCTTCCTGCCTGCCTCCCTCAGAGGTGCCAAGGTGCCTGTGACAGTTTTTCCAAGGAGCGTTGCGGAGGCCGGTCCATGTGTCTGGTCCATCCAGCAGGTCACGATGCTCCCTCGCTTGGCCTCTGAGTGGGGCCCCGCCCAGTGGGAGTGTGGTGTTGGGGGCAGTCAGGGTAACCTCGGCCTACCAGGGGCAGTTCCCAGCCTTCTCCCCACACCCCAGTCCCTGTGGGGCGGGGTGGGGGGGCTTCCCAAGCTCCCTGACGTTTGTGGGTGCCTGCGGGGCTTCCCGAGAGTGGACAGTGCGGGGCAGTGGGCCGCCTCATGCTAGCCCCTCCACAGGGCTGCTCTGGGCCTCTCCTTGGCCTGCTTTTGGTTTTAGAGTTTTAGGGCCTCCCTTGGCACAGCTGGGGCTCTGCTCAGGCGTCGTCCTGGCCGGGCTCAGCTGGCCCCGCCCGCCCACTGACCAGCCGCTGTTTGCTCACAGATCGACTACCACTACATCTCCTGCCAGGGCTTCCCCATCGAGGGCTGGGCCGTGGTCTACTACATCACTCACCTGTGAGTACCTGGGCAGAAGGCCCCAGGCTGTGGGGGGACAGGGTGGGGGCGGTTTGCGCAGGCGGGAGACAGCCGGGCTCTGTGTCTCCTCCAGCCTCAAGGGGGCGCTGCTCTTCATCACCATCGCGCTCATCGGCACGGGCTGGGCCTTCATCAAGCACATCCTCTCTGACAAGGACAAGAAGATCTTCATGATCGTCATCCCGCTGCAGGTGAGGGCACAGGGGCTTTACAGAACAGGCCCTGGCACAGGGCGGGAGAGCATCTCTGCTGCCCACGTTGGCCCCGGGACGGGCAGGCTGCTGTGTCCAGGCCCTCTGGGGACCCGTTGAGGGGAGTCACCCCACACCCGTCCTGGTGAGGAAGCAGATTTTCTCTGCGCGCAGTTAGGGGTGAGGGGTCTGCATGACTGAGGCTGGGGCGGGCTGGACCCTGGGAGCCTCTGGCTGGGCTTTGCACAGTGACATGGTGCCCCGCTCCAGGGAGGGGGAACCCAGGTTGGGAGAACGCGGGGAATCCTGGGGTGGCCCGGGAGTGTGGAGGCGGCCCGGGCCCTGGGCAATGCCAGGAGCCCATCTGTGTCCTTGGCTTAGTGCATCCCGCGGCTGTGCTGGGGTGGTGGGTGCTCGCTGGGCCTCTGCTGCTGGCCACACTGAGGACACAGTTCCCGGCTGTCCGCGGAGCCTGAGGCCTCGGTGTCTGCTAAGCCCCAGCCTGAGGTCCCCCCAAAATGCGTACCTCAGGACCTCCCAGCCAGCCCCTCTCCTCCCGCCCTTCCTGGGGGTCGAACTTGGGAGAGGGACTTGGGGTCTCAGCTGTCTGGCGGGCTGGACTGGCGACCACCGTGAGGCCATCCTGGGCCCATCTCCTGGTTGGGGCTGGCTGGACTCTCTCTCACCTCGCGGCCCGACTGATGTCTGGAGGTGGCTGGGAGGTTCCTGTGGGCCTGCATGGCCGCATCGAGGAACCAGAGCCCACTGTGACCGTGTTGTTTGCTCTGCTGCTGTTTCATCTGGCTTGGGGCCATCCTGGGCCGTGCTCTGGGGCTGCCCCTGGTTCAGTGCTCGGGGATCAGCCCTGGGACCAGGGTCAGCCCTGTGAGCATCTTGGTTTCTCTGGCCTAAAACTGCTAGTCAGTGGGAGAGTAGAAAGTTCTGGAAGAGTAGATGGGCCTGGAAGTAGAGCTATGTCCCCCATGCTCCCCTTGATTTCCTGTGCTCCCCACTCAGGACTCTTCTGTGCTCCCCCTCTGGGCTCCCCCATGCTCCCCCCGGGCTCCCCGTGCTCCCGCTCTGGACTCACCCGTGCTCCCCGCCACTGTGTGCGCAGGTGCTGGCCAACGTGGCCTACATCATCATCGAGTCCACGGAGGAGGGCACAACAGAGTACGGGCTGTGGAAGGACTCCCTTTTCCTGGTGGACCTGCTGTGCTGTGGGGCCATCCTCTTCCCCGTGGTGTGGTAAGTGCTCCCGGATCCCTCTGGCGAGACGGCAGCCCGGGGACCGGAAGCCGGGGAGCGGGAGGATCCCCCAGGGGCCTTTTCCGGCCGAGTCCGTGGGCACAGGAGGAAGTATATGACCCCTCTCGCTCGCCAGCGCCCCCCCCCCCCCCGGGGCCCTGGGCTCTGGGAAGGGCCCCGTGGGTCTGTGTCCCCATGACACTGTCCCGTGCCCCGGGACCTGGGGGCTATCCGGCCCCTCCCTCTGCCACTGATGGGACTCAGTGCCGCCTCTGGCCCCTGGCAGGGAGCACTGCAGCCGCAGGGATGGCTGTGGAGCAAGCGTCTCCCTCTGTCGCCTGCAGCCTGTCATGGCGCGGCTAAGCTTCGTTTTCTCTAATTGTGTTTCAGGTCAATCAGACACTTACAGGAAGCCTCAGCCACAGACGGGAAAGGCAAGTCCCCTCTTCGGAACAGGGGGGTAGAGTTGGCTGGAGTTGATTCGGCACAGGAGGGGGATGTGGGGGCTGGCTGTGGTGAGGCGATGCCTGTCGGTTCCGGTCATGCCTCAGCCTCCTAAGGTGACCCTCATACCCATGAGGGTCACCTTAGGAGGCTGAGGCTGGAGGGCAGACCTGGAAAGTAGGGTCGTGTGCAGGGAGCAGAGCTGGGAAAGTGGGGCCATGTGCCGAGCTGGAGAGTGGGGCCGTGTGTAGAGCTGGAGAGTGGGGCCGTGTGCAGGGAGCAGAGCTGGGAGAGTGGGGCCGTGTGCAGAGCTGGAGAGTGGGGCTGTGTGTATACTGCTTTCCAGCTGACTAACACACGTCCAAAATAGCCATGGCCTGGCTCGTCAGAACCCAGTTTGCAAAGCGCTGGGCCAGCCTTTCCCAGGGGCTGCAGTGTGACCTGTACACCCTCAGCCCTGTGCTGCCCGGGGGTCCTTCAGCGGAGACTGGGGCGTGGCGGGTTCCTTCAGAGCGTTGGTGCATCTCGGGGGATTGCAGGCATGGTGGGTTCTGACCTCCCGTGAGACCAGCGCCTGGGAGAAACGGTTCCCTCCCTCCCGGTGCCCTTGTGGTGCCCCTCGCAGCGCCTGGGCCGGGCCACCGGGTTCCTCCTCCCTCAGATCCCCCATCCCCTGGAACTGCCCCCTGAGACCCTCTTCTCTGGCTGACCCCGCGCCAGGGCTGTGCTCATAGCTCGGTGCCACAGCTGCTACCTGGGGCAGGACCGGAGGGGTCCGGCGGTGGGTGTGGCGGCGGAGGCTGAGGGGGCTGGCCTGGGGGCTGCTCTCTGTGTCCCCCACTGGCAGTGGCTGGGCCCCTCTGCTCCCTTCTCTCTGCTCTCTGCGCTCACGTCCGGGGGACCAGCCGCGACCTGGGGTTGTACCCGGGGAGCCGGGGGCCCCGTTGGGGTCCCCCTTAACTCCCTGCGTGGCGAGGACAGACCCCCGTGCAGCTGCGTGCTCCTGTGTGTCCGTCCACCAGGTGGCGGCAGCGGCCCTTCTGCAGCGAGGGAGCCGGTGGCAGGAAGTGGGCCTGGCCCCTGGTCTGTGTCATCAGGGAGGAGGCGGGTGTCCTGTCCATCGGCCACCGAGCTGGCCCACACACGCACGTTTCTCTGGGTGCTTGGGCCAGGGGTCGTGCTGAGGTCGAGTGAGGGAGCTCTTGGGAGCAGTGTCCTGGCCTGCAGCTTGGGGTAGTGGGAGACCCCCCGACACACATACACACACACAGGGGCCCTGGGCCAGGCGCAGACACCCCAGGGCTGATTTCTGCACAGCCTTCCCTGTTCCATGGCTGAGCCGCGGCTTCAGGGTCCCAGGCAGAGGCGTGAGCACCCACAGCTGGGGTCGGGCTCGCTGGACTCCTCCCACCTGGTGCCAATGGCCCAGTGTCCATGTCCTGCCGCCCCAGCAGCACCCTGCACTCGTGGCCCTGGGAACCGGCAAGTACAGCCCGGCGGTCCTCGGTGGACGGTGAGCACTGCTTGCCAGGGGACCGGCCAGGGCTCGCCATGGCTACCAGGAGGGGCTGGAGGCGTTCTCTGCCTCTCCCCCGTTCCTGACCCGCGTGGCCGCTGCCCCCGCCCCACCGCAGGTGCCCGGGGCCCCAAGCCTGGCCACCCATGCTCCCGTCACCTCCTCTCTGCACCACGCACTTGATCCCCTCTTCCCGGCGGCACCCCTGTCCCGGGGGGTCCTGTCCCGGGTGTGCACACACATGGTCGTGCTCGAGGCCAGGGAGAAGGCTGTGTCCTGCCGGTCAGTGAGCCTCAGCTGTCAGACCCATTGAGCGCGGGTGCCGGGTGCCGGGTTGGGCGTCTCTGACTCAGGGTTGGGGCACCATCAGGCCTGGATGCGGGAAGGGTTTCCCGGAGTCCTGCTCATCCTGGCGCAAGGGGCAACGCCTGGAGCATCTTTGAGGAGGCCCAGGACCTCCCCGGGGGGTCTGTGGGCCCTGACCCGGCCGTCCTGCCCTTGCCTCGAAGACAGCAGCGTGGTGGCAGGACCCTCCCCCCGCACACACACACAGCGCAGAGGGGCGAGGCACCGCAGGCCTCGTGCCAGCCACGGGCACTGCCACGGGCATGCCGGGACACTGCCAGCTGCCACGAGACGCTGACAAACAGCTCGAGGCTGCTTCCAAAATCCACCCGCCACAACGCACATCATTTCCTGCCGCCCACGAGACTTCCGTTTCCAGGGCCGCTGCGGGGTGGGGGAAGGGGGTAGATAGGCAGAGCCCGCACAGCCGTGCCCTGCGCCTGCACACCCCTCCATGCTCGCTCGCCCGTGAGCTGCGGGAGCACCGGGCCGGGTGGGCGCAGCCCCTTGCTACCGGCTCTCCTCCCCGTGGGGGTCACGCTGTTGCCGTGGGGGTTGCGCTCAGAGAAGGAAAGTACACTTGCACTTCCGGGCCCAGCCTGCCGCATTCCTTGTGGGAATGGACTCCAAAGGCGTTTCTGTGTCGAGGGTCAGGCGTCTGCTGTCCAGGGGCGCCCAGGCTGGATTCAGGGCAGCCCTGCCAGTGTCACGGGCGATTCAAGTGTGGGGGGCGCCCTTCCTGATCCTGGTGCCCGGGACCCTCGGCCCTGCCTGGCAAGCGCTGTGAGCCCCGAGTGGGCAGCGCCCTGCTGGGGTCCAGCCTCTGTGGAGCCTCTGTTCCCACAGTGCCCTGGTCCCTCTGATGGCTGGGGGGTGGGGGTGGCTTCAATTCCCGCAGAGGTGCTCCGGGTAGGTCGCCCACCCACCTGTGGGCAGCTCAGCTGATCAGCCTCTCCCCTGCCCCTTCTCCCCAGCTGCCATCAACCTCGCTAAGCTGAAGCTCTTCCGGCATTACTATGTCCTGGTGAGTGGGAACAGGCCGGAACCTGCCAGTGCCGGGCCGGGGGGGGGGGGAGGGTGGAGGGCGTGCAGGAGCCCCGTGGCCGCTCAGCCCGGCTGCTGGGTGGGGCAGGGAGGGCCAAGCTTGCCGTGGGTGCCTGGGGAACCAGCCCAGACTGGTTGGGTATTGGTGGGGGGGGGACACACCTGGGGGTGATCAGGGATCCGCCCAGGTGGGCCATGTTCAAGGCAGGCCCCTTCCCTGCTGCACTGTCTCCAGCTCCAGGCTGTTTGAAGTGCAGAAATCATGAAATAGACAAACCCAGCTGACCTGCCCCTCCCAGCTGTCCTCCCCGGCCCTCCTGTCCCCGTATCCCCCCAGAAGTGTCCCCTCCAGCACTCCTTCCTCTCCCTTCTCTGGATTCCTCCCTGGCCTCTCCCCCACCCTGCTGTCCCTGTGACTTAGAGGGGGGGTCACAGCTGGATCAGTGTGTGTTCTGGCACCAGAGGCTGGCCTTGCCGTCAGCTGTTAGAAGGTTCTGGAATCTTCATGGTCTCTGGGCTTTGCAGGGAGGCCGCAGGCAGGTCGAGGGGCCAGGAGGGGCCACGGTGCCCTTGGCTGGGGTGGGTGGGGTGGGCATCGCTGGTCTGTGCTGCCAGAGGGACGCAGCAGCCGGGCCGGAAGCTCCTGGCCCGCTTCCGCCCGCACCCACGGCACTCCCCGGGGGTGCTCCTGGCCTGGGGCTTCCCGCGAGGGGAGGTCGGATGGCTGCTGTGGGGAGCGGGGCTGGACGCCCGGGTCCACGCTGACCACTGCTGTGCCGCCCTGCAGATCGTGTGCTACATCTACTTCACCAGGATCATCGCCTTCCTCCTCAAGCTGGCTGTGCCCTTCCAGTGGAAGTGGCTCTACCAGGTCAGCTGCCGGGCGCCCCAGGGCGAGAGAGGCCGCGGGCCAGGCAGGCTGGACACTGACCCTGGGGCCTCGGTTAGGGTGCCAGCCCCGCGCGAGCCGCTTCCCAGGGGCTCCCCGGCGCCCGGGGAAGAGGTGGACATGGGGGTGCCTGAGCCCCTCGGAGGCCGGTTCAGGGGCCCACACCGAGGCTCTGGCACAGTGGGGACAGCGCCGCAGGGTGTCGGGATGCGGACCCCCACGCTAGCTCAGCCCCCTCCTGGGGGTCTCGTTGGCAGCTTCTGGACGAGACGGCCACGCTGGTGTTCTTCGTCCTAACGGGGTACAAGTTCCGGCCCGCTTCCGATAACCCCTACCTCCAGCTTTCTCAGGAAGACGACGACCTGGAGATGGACTCAGTGTAAGGGACCCTCCCCTCTGCTGCCTGCTTGCCGCCAGTGCCCGGCAGGGCTGGCCAGGGGCATCGGCTTGAGGAGCAGGTGCTGCCTGCTGCCCCCGCCCCCTCCCCCCGGACAGTAACTGCAGACACGCCTGCTGGACCTTGCCCCGGGCGGCCCTGGTCACTGCCTCATCCCTCCCGGCGCCCCCATCATGCCCGGCCCACGCCCAGGCTCCGTGGTTGCCCTTGGAGAGGCCAGAGAGATGCATGGGTACCAGGGGCCGACCCGGTTCCATTCCCATCTCAGCCCCAGCGTCGCGGGCACAGCCAGTTGCCACTCCCCACACCAAACCAGCCACCTCCCAGGGGACGTCTGTGAGGACACGTGTCCACGGCACGGGGGCCATTCACTGAAGCACAGAGCGGTCCAGGGGGCTTTGCCGGCTCGCACGGTAGCAGGGGTGAGGCCCGGCCCCGGCTCCCCTGCCCGCGGTGCTGAGCTGCTGTCTCCTGCAGGGTGACGACGTCGGGGGTGATGGAGAGCGTGAAGAAGGTGCGGAAGGTGACGAACGGGGCCCTGGAGCCTCAGGGAGACTGGGAGGGCTCGGCGTGAGCCCGCTGGACTCACCCACCAGTGTTCCCGCCTGCCCGCCCGCCCGCCAGCCCCGAACCCTGCCACGGACCTTTGAAGAGACCCAGGCTGGACTCCGGCAGGGTGCGGGCGCAGGCGGATAAAAGGAAGGCTTTGTCTTTAATTTATATTTCTTTGTACTTTCCTTGGGGGCTCTGGAGGCTGCAGCTGTGGCCCGGCCCCCTGCCTGGAGCGGAGAGTGGGGGGCGAGGGCAGCTGGCGCGAGGCTGGGGAGAGAGGACGCGGACGCGGGGCTGCCACAAAGGAGCCTGGGGTCTCTCAGCAAGGAAATCAGCCCCTGCGCCGGCCCCGAGCCCAGAGCTGCCAGGGGACTTGATGGGTCCCCCCTGCTGGGCACCCCGCCCCCCCCCCCGCCAACGCTGTTTGGGGGGCCGGGGCAGACGTTTGCACACAGGCCGGGCACACCCCGAGACACAGCCCAGACGGAGGCTCTGGGCCCGTCCCTGCGAGGGAGCTGCGCCCACCTCCCGTGTGGTGCAGACCGCTTGGCCGCAGTGGTTCTCCAGGTTTTCGGGGTGCGTGGCTGGGGGTGGCCTGCTGCCGGGTGTGTGAGAATCCGCTGACTGGCAGTGCGGGTCCTGGGGGAGGCCAGGACAGGCCAGTCGGAAGGGGTCCCCGGTGTCTGCCGAGCTTTGGAAGTGCTCTGGTTTCGGCTGCCTTGGGGCTGTGCCCGGGAACCCCCCCCTCCAATCCCACCACCCCCAGCATTGCAGACACATCCTGTCCTGTGGCCTGCAGGGACGCTGCTGGCTGTGGGGGTCTGGGCCTGTCCCCAGCCAGGCTGGAGCCCCAACCCCAGGGCTCTCCCGGCCCTTCTGGCTCCTCCCACCGCTGAGTGGCCAGAGCAGGGTTCAGACTCACTCCCACCCCACTCCTTGTCCCTCGCCCCCCATCCCCCCACCCCTTCCCTTCCCCCACTCAGCCCATGTGGGTGCCCTGGGTCCCTGTGTGGCCTGCCCGCATTGGGGAGCGGGGGCACTGGGTCGGGTCCTGTGTGTGTGTGCCACACATGGCGACCTACCCCCTGTGGGCAACAGTGGGCCAAGGACTGCCAGCTGCCAGCCGGGGCGCGCAGGGGTCTGTTTGTCTGTAATAAACTGTGTATTTTGCCAGAAAATCAAGAACAGTCTGTGCGGTCTTCATCCGGCGCTGATCCTGGGCGGGGCCCCGTCCCGTGGACGGTGGCAGGGCCAGGGCTGGAGGCTGGTGTCCAGGCCGGGCACCGTCGCCTGGGCCCGCTGCTCCTCTGGGCTCCCCACGCAGGGCTGCCCCCACCTCCCTCCCCTGCTCCCTTGCCCCTCCTCATCCTCTCTCCCCCTCCTCCCTTCTCTTCCCTCCCCGCCTCCCTCCTCCCATGCCCCCATCCATCCTCACCACCCCTCCTCCCCCTTCACTCTCCTGGCAGCCAGTCGAATCCCCCCTTGATACTTAAGCATCTGCTGCTTCCCTGACCTTGTCCTCCCAAGCCATTAGCCTCCCCACCCCCGCCCCCTGCAGGGTGGGCCTCTCCCTCCTGCCACTGGGCCTGCCCCTGGCCCCCTTGCCTCTGCTGGGTGGGCACCCGCGGGGCTGCTGCCGCCCTTCCCAGTAGGGTCTGGCAGTGGGTTGGGCCTGGCCTCTCTCCACGACCACACGGTGCTGACCCAGGCCGCCAGTGTCCAGAGAGGCAGCCGGTCTGGGGCTTCGGGTGCAGGGGCCCTCTCTCTTCCATTCCCCAGGCCCAGCGGGGGAGTGTGTGGAAAGGGAAGGTGGGGGGGGGGCCTGTGGGGCCTCGAGTGGCCGTGACTGAGGAGGGGGCTCAGAGCGGCCCTCAGGATGCTGTCGTGAAGGCCCAGAGCCCTGTGGGGCACCTCACCCAGCGCAGGAGCACGGGCACCCGAGTGAGAGCTCGGGTGACCTGTGGGAGTGAGCACGCGGGTGGCACTCCCTGCCCAGCGCTGTGACAGGGACACAGATGATCAGGCCTTCCAGCGGGGACTGGTGTCTGCCTCGCTCCGCCCCACCCGCAGGCGCTCTCTGCACGGCCGCTCTTCAGAGAAGCTGCGGCTTGTCGCTCCAGCCCCCTCGCTGGTCTGATCCTGCCACTGCGTCCGGGAGCCTCGGCAGAGCACTGTGCTTGGAGGAGCTGGGCCATGCAGCCTCGCTCCCCCCACCCCACTGCTAGGGACCCGTTAGCAGTGTCGGATAGTCCCCTGCCCCGTCCCCGTTGAGCTGCCGGTCCTGCCGGTCCCGAGCATCACTTGCACGGAGCGAATGTCCCTTCTCTGTGGTTCCCGGGGCCCACACAGCCGGAGCCTGGCTGGGGGGAGGGTGGCCCCCAGGCCTCCTGACAGGGTCTTGGCGTCGGTCAGGGCGCAGGTACTGCCAGAGAACCCCCTCCCTTGCGGGACCTGGACCCCGGGGTATGTGAAGGGCAGTGGAGGTAGGGACGTACCTTCATGAGAGGCCTGGGGTGGGCTGACACTTGACCTTGACACTTGGAGGTCCCTGGGAGGGCCCCCAGCTCGTGCTCACACTGGCTCGGCAGGCTTCTGGAATCTTCTCCCAGCTGCCCAGTGCCCAGCGTTTTCCTGGCAGCCCCCATCCATGAAGCCTGACCCTGCACTGGTGCGGGATGCGGGGGCGCAGGTCCCCCAGCAGCCCCAGGAGTCAGACCCTCTCAAGACCCCCGCAGCCGGCCGCCCCTAGCCGCTGCTGCCGCCCGTCTCACCTGGCCACTGGCGGGAGCGACTGTTCTGGTTTGGGGCCACACCCGGCAGTGCTCGGGGTTGGCTCCTGGGCCTGCGCTTGGGGGGTCACCCCCAGCCGGTCTCAGGGAACCAGGCCGGGGATCCATCCTGGCTTGCCAGTGCACCAGGCCCGTGCCCTTCCCGCTGGTCCGTCTCTGCACCACCAAGCACGACCGGGCCTGGCGCAAACCGCGTCTCTTCCGTCCTTCCTCGTTGGTCCAGGCGCACGGCCAAGTTGCGGGAGCCCTTGAGGTGGATGCTCAGCCCGACCCAGATTCTCAGACCCCTGATCTGCGGCCAACCCCCCACCCCAGGGTCACCTTTATGTGTGTCTGTCTGACTCACAGAAGGCACGACGCCTGGCTGAAGGTCATAAATGTGCCCTCACCTTCAAATCCAGGGTCGCTGCCAACTCCACCGTGAACACGGGGAGAAGGAAGGGCCCCCGGGCAGAGAAGGGCCCCCCCAGCAGACCCTGCCTGGCACCCACGGGTGTCCTGGGCACTGGCTTGTTAGCCTTGAAGGTCCAGGAGCCTGTGGGGTGCTGGGAGACGTCCCCTCCCTTTCTGACTCCTTTTGCCCCCGCTAACGCGGCGCGGGGGGGGGGGTCTCCCTGCCTTGCAAGTGCTCCTGGCCCCCAAAAGAGGGAGCTGGGCGGTGGCAGTGGGTGTGGCCTCTCTCTCCCGGAGGCCACCAGGGGGCAGACTAGGATAACGGGCCCTGCCCCCTCTCCCACCTACAGGGCCCTTGGGCGGTGGGCATGAGGCCCTTGTCCCCTGCCTGGACCTGTGCGGGGGACTCAGGTGTTGGTGTGACAGCTGTTCCTGCCCTTTCTCTTCAGGTCCACTGACACCATCCCAAACCCCACTCAGACCCTCGGGGGTCTCTGCAGTCCTGGAGTAGTGCCCCCCAGGACGAGCTGGAAGCAGTCAGAACTGACCACTGGAGTATGCTTGCTTCGGTTTAGTCTGGGGGCCACACCTGCTGGTGTTCAGGGATCACTCCGGGCGGGGCTGGGGACCCTGTGGGGTGCCGGGGGGAGAACCTGGGATGGCTGCGTGCAAGGCAAGTGCCCTCCAGCTCTCTGGCCCCCCCCTGCTGGCCTATGCAAACCCCCAGCCCCCAGCCTCCAGCCCCCTAGCCCCTCCCCCCATGGTAGCCCCCCCCCCCCAACAGCCGGACTCTTGCTCATCTGTGTCTCATTGTTCTGTGACTGCCAGCGGCTCCGCAGGACCGTTTCTACCCATTGCCGCCCGTTTCTGCCCTGCTCCCCGGGCCCTCTCCTCCTTATGGCCTTTGTTATCAGGTTGATTTGGGGCTGCAAGGCAGCTGACTTGGGACACCTGTGAGTCCCCCCGCGGGGAAATGGACCTTTATGGCTGGGCACAGTGTGGGGGGCTGTGCCCCGCACCCCCCAGATACCTCAGGGCCAGGCCCACCCTGCTGCTGGCGCCCCCTGCTGGTGCCTGCCGGGACTCCGCGTGCTCCTGTCCCAGCTCTGGGCTCTGTGCCCCCAGTAAGTGAACCTCCCACCCACTAGGCTTGTCCTGGGCCTGGGCCCAGTGCAGCCTTCAGAGACGGTTGTAATGGGGGCTTGGAGGAGGGTCTTAGCGTCTGTCTGTCTCTGTCTCCAAGTCCGGGGCTCCAGAACCTAAGTTTAGAGTCACTGCCCGTGTGGTGTCCCCAGCTCCACCGGCTGAGTGTGCCTCCCCAGAGAGAGAAGACAGCCTGCCTTGGAGGAATCCCACAGACAAGCTGAATCTCGGGCTCGCTGGAGAGGAACGTGGGGTGCTGGGGGTCCTCAGTGGGCCTCGGCGCCTGCCTGGCCACAAGGAGGCCCTGCCGAGTCTGGTCGTGGGAACCTAGAGGCCCAGCAGCCCAGGGACAGGATTGGGCAGCGAGTGAGGCCTCCTGCAGTGCTCCAGTGTGAGCGGAGAAGGGTTGACCAGCTCCGGTCTCCATCTGATCCCAGTGGGCCTAGAGGCCACCTTCCCCGTGGGCCCCCCACATCCCACACTCCATGTGCTGGGCTGTCCCTACCCTGCTCCCTGCCCATCCACATTCAGTGAATGAATTGCATCCCCTGAGCGGGCTGCGGCCACGTGTCTGTGTGTGCGTATGTGTGTGTGTGAATGTGTCTGTGTCTGCATGTGTGTACGCATGTGTGTGTCTGCACATGTGTCTGCACGATGTGTGTGCGTGTCTAAGCATGTGTGCACGTGCGTGCGCTCCCACACCGGTGTCTGTGTGTGTGACTGCATGTGTACGTGCGCGTGTTTGTGTCTGCACGTGTGTGCACGTGTGTGCACGCGTGTGCGTGCACGTTTGCGCGCGAGTGTGCGTGTGTGTGCAGGTGTGCGCTCCCGTGTGCGTGTGTGTGCGTGCGCGTGTGTCTGCACGTGTGTGCGTGTGTGCACGCTTGCGCGCGTGTGCGTGTGCACGTGTGTGTGTGCGCGCGCGCGCGGGCCCCACGGCGGGCACCGGCGTTGGCGAGCTCCGGGGCGCGGGCCGGGCGGGTGCGGGGCGGGAGGAGGCGCCGGCGCTGAGTGGCGGCTCCGGGTCCAGCCCCGGCGGGTGCGGGCGGGAGGCGGGAGCGCGGCGGGCGGCGGGAGAGCGCAGCCGCGGAGCATGTGTCGCGGCGCCCAGTAACCAGGGACGACCGCGGCCGCACCGCCCGCCCCGCGCCCCGGCCCGGCCCGGCCCGGGCAGACAAAGGCGCGGCCCGGCCGGCCCCGCCGCGCGCCCCGCCCCGGCCGCGCCCGCCCCGCCGCTCCCGCTGGGCGCCCCGACGGGGTCCGGCCCGGGCGGCGGGGCCGCGGCGCCCACCATGGGCAAATCCAACAGCAAGTTGAAGCCCGAAGTTGTGGAGGAGCTGACCAGGAAGACGTACTGTGAGTGCCGCCGCCGGCCTTTGTTCCGGGCCCCTCCCCCACCGCCGCCGGGGCCCCCCGCGCGCGCGGGGCCGGTGTCCCCGGGAGCCCGCGCCCCCCGCCCGACTCTCCGCGCCCGCCCGCCGCCCGCGGGACCGGGACCCGGGCGCGGGGCGCGGGGCGCGGGGCGCGGGGCGGGGGCCGGGCCGGGCCGGGGGCCGAGGGCCCGGCCGGGGGGCGCTGCCTGCGCAGAGCCGAGCCGTTGCGGGCGCGCGGCGCGGCGGTGATTCACGCATCACGCTGTCGCTGCGAGCTTGGCCTGTCGCCCCCTCCTTGGCCCGGATCGTGTGTGTGTGTCGGGGGGGGGGGTGCGGAGGCTTGTCAGGGCGCCCGTGGCCGCGGTGACCGCTGTGAAGGTCCCAGGCTGCAGCATTTCGCCGTGGAGGCTCCCCCGGACCCCTGCCCGCCTTTCTCTCGCCCCGCCGAGAGCCGGGAGCCACGGGTTCCCCCAGCGCGGGCACTGCGGGCCACCGGTTCCGACTCCCCTGGATCCCGCTCTGGGGTCGCCCCCCCGTTGGCCGATGTCCAGCTTCCGGCCCCCTCTTGCCTTCATGCCCACGGAGCACTCCCTGCACCCTGCGCCCCCCACCCCGGAGCTGGCACGGCAGGGGTTAACGGCACTGGGTTCTGACCACACCGGTTTGGGGGGGGGGCTGTCCCATCTGCGGGGCGGGGGGGAGGTCACTGGCAGAGCCCATCCCTGGAAGCCCCCAGGGTCCAGCCCCCTGCACCCCTGCTGGGGACAGCAGATTGCCACCCAGAGCTGGTGTGGTGGGCGCGGGTGAGCCGCTGCCTGCGGTGTATTGCTGTGGACCCCACCCCACCCACCCACGGTCCGTGGGTCCTCTGGGCACCCGACATCTCTGCTCCAGCCCTGGCACCCCTCCGGCCCTCCCCCCTGTTCTGGGAACATGGAGAGGGGGGGCTTTCCCCAGCAGGGGCTGGTGGGCGAGACCCAGTCTCAGTGGCCGCTCCTACGGCCCCGCCTGGATCCTGACCCGCTTCCCAGGCGCCTCCAGAGCCGCTGTGGCGTCATGAGACTCACAGGTCTCTAGGCCGCCACCGCCGGGTCCCCTCTGTGGAGCAGGCAGGCCCCCACCAGCTGCTATGGCCGGCAACGCCAGTGGAGTTTCTGAACCGTTAGCATCGAGTACCACGTTTCTCCCCATTGCGGGAGCTGGAGACTGAGGCGCTGCACACCCACCGGCAAGGGTCTCCCAAGACCCTCAGGCTCCAGAGCCTCACCCCGGAAGCCCCTCAGAACGGGTGCTGCTGAGGGCTGGAGAGAAAGACCAGCAGGAGGGCGCTTGGGTTCGATCCCGGGCACCCCCAGAGCACAGCCAGGAGTCATTCTTGAGTGCAGAGCCAGGAGTTACCCCTGAGCACCACCCAGTGTCCCCCCACAAAAAAAAAAAACCCAAATAAAAATCCTGAAAGCAAAGAATTGCAGCTCGTTAATTCCCGCTGAGGTGTCAAGGGGTGTTTCCCCCTCTGGGGATGTTAGAGGGAATTGGGGACCCCCAGGTGTGCTGAGCTTGGGCCTATTGCCTGCCCGGGCTCTCTGCAAAGGCTCCGTAGATGGGGGTGCTTTCCGCTGAGTTAGTGGGGGCTGGTGGTGGTGGGGAGTCTGTGGGGATAGTGGGGTTCATTTGCCTCTGTCTCCCCGGCTCTTGCCAGCTGCATCTGCTCCGCGTGCGGGGTGGGTGCCTGTTTATCAAGTCTGGGCTCACTGGGGTGGGGGCGCGCCACACTTAGTGATGGTGCTCGGGGCTTTCTCCTAGCGAAGCTCGGGGGCCTTACGGGCTGATGAGGATGGAATCGCGTGGGCCGCGTGCAAGGCAAGCGTCCTCCCCACTGTACTGTCTGTCGGGCCCCCACTAGCCGGCTTCCTGTGATGGCCCCTCTTGGTTCGGGTTCGTGGTAGGGGCGGGGGTGCCAAGGGAGGTCTCCCCACCGGCGAGTCACTCGTGGGTCCCGGCTTGCCCCCGTGGTTCCGGCTTGGAATCTGCCTTCCCGTGGCCAGGGTCTCGTGCCTGAGTAGCTCCAGGTTCTGGGGTCCTGGCCTCGGCCAGGGGGAGCCCAGAGGCCGGCCCCGAGTCTGGGTGAGTGGATGCGCCACACCTCAGACCTGCATCCATCCGGCCGCAACCCCCTGTGTTGGGCCTCGTGTGACAGCCACCGTTTGCCCAAGAAGCGCTGACATTGCTGGCCCCAAGGATCCCCTTCGGGGCTCTGATCATATCAGGGTGCGGCGGGAGCCTCTGCGGAGGTGGGGGATGCGGAGTCCCCCATGCAGGCTTAGGGTTCGCGTCTCTGAGACTGGACCCACTTTGTTGCGGTGTGAGGGCCTCTTTTTAGCCCTCTGTGCCTGGGCACAGACTTCTGAGCCTCGATTTTACCGTCTGCAAAATGGGGATGTCTGCCCAGTGCCTGACTGTGAGGAGAGGGGAGGGAGGGCCCCCCTCAGGATATTACACAGTCATTGCTAGCACAACAGAGTCCCAGAGCACTTCCAGGAGCGGCCTGTGAGCACTGAGCCGGGAGTAGCCCCCAGCATCACCCAACTCCGTTGCAGGTTCTGGCTTCACCCGCAGGAGCTGCCCCTCTCCTGCCCATCCTGCACAAGCCCGCCTCATCCCCTCTGCAGGTCCACTCTGCTGGGCGGAGGGAGAGCAGGAACAAAGAGGGGACCCCTACCCACTTAGGCTGAAGACACAGTTTGTAGTGCCAAGGCACCAGCCCCCCGGGAGGCGGGCACCTCGAGCCTCACCTGTGGTGCTCACTTCCCTGGTCCCTCTGTCCAGATACAGGGGCTCACCTCCTCCTGGGTGCCCTCCGTTACTGCAGACCTGTCTTGACCTTGATGCCAACCTTGGGTCTCTGGCTAGTCCTGATGCCCCAAGCTTAGCAGTGTGTGTGTGGGGGGGCTCCTACTCGGGGGGTCAGGCAGCCAGAGTTGAGAAGGGGACCTCCCACCTGGATCTGGGGGCCACTGGGAATTTGGAGAGGGCACAACAGGCCCTTTCCTATGGGGCATTCTCTCATCAGCACCCCCAAGCTCTGCAGGGCAGTGCCACGGGGCGAGCAGTAGCTGGCACCCTTTGTGCTTTGAGGAAGGTGGGGTGTAGGGGGCCTGATTAGGCAAAGGGTAACCTTGCTTTTGGGGTGTAGCTGGAATTCCTCAGTATCTCATGAACACACACCCTGTGTGCTGCGTCCTGTGGACACGCACCCTGTGAGCACACATTGTGGGTACATGCACCCTGTGTACATGCATCCTGTGTACACACGTTCTGTGTACACACATCCTGTGTATATGTGTCCCGGGCACATGCATCCTGGGTACATGCATCCTGTGTATATGCATCCTGGGCACATGCATCCTGGGTTCACACACCCTGTGGACATTCATCTTGATTACACGCACCCTGTGGACACGCATCCTGCGGACACACATCCTGGGTACATGCATTCTGTGTACATGTACCCTGGGCACATGCATCCTGGGTACTCACATCCTATGGGCAATCATCTTGATTTTGTGCACCCTATGTACATGCATCCTGTGGACATGCCTCCTGGGTACGCACACCCTGTGGACATGCATCTTGTTTACGTGTATCCTGCGGACACGCATCCTATGTAATACATCTGATATACATGCATCCTGAGTACATATGTCTTGCATATGCGTCTGATGTAACGTGTCCTGTTTACACATACCCTGTCGATGTGCATCCTGGGTACACAATCCGATGTACTCGTATCCTGGGTACATTCACCCTATGTACATGCATCGTGTGTGCTGGGTGCAGTGTACATGCTCACTCTGTATGTGCACCCATATCCAGTGTGCCGCCTCCTGGCCATGGCCTGCGGGCTCCCTGCTGCACGCACACATGTGCTGAGAGTGTGTGCTGAGAGGCGCAGCCCCTTGTCCAACCGAGGCCGTGGAGGGGTGGAGCCACAGCCTCACCCAGGTGGTGCCTGGCAGGATACTTTGTTGTTTGTTGAGATGTGAGATGTATCTGCCCCCCCCCCCCCCGCCCCCGCTCTGACCTTGGGGAAGTAGGCCTATCTCTGCTCTGAGCCCAGGCCTCTGCCCCTCTCTGCTGCCCACGCTGCCCACGGGGCCTTGCACCAGGCCCGGGCGGAGCTGTAAGGCAGCCAAACCCTGTGTGGGGAGCAGACTCAGGGGCCTCCTCCCTTTTCTCCCTTTCCTCCCCGCTGCATTGCTGGGGCAGCCATGGGGGCTGGAGCACCGTAGGGGATGGGGGCTTCAGCCTGGGTACCACAAGGTCAGGGCTCCCCTCCTCATGGTTCTGCCCCTTTGCCTCCTCTGGTTTCTGTCCCCAGGGGTCCTCGCATCATGCAGGAGCTGCTCTCTGGGCCAGGCTGTGACCCTGAGCAGAGGTTGGGGGCAGCGGGGAGTGGCAGAGACACCCCAGGAGCCCCCAAGAGCACCCTGGTGTGCAGCAAATTCAGGAGTTGGTGATGCGAGGGGCCTCCGTGGGCTCCCAGGAGGGCCCATCTAGGTGATTTTCGGCTGAGGACCTGGTACAGTGGCTCCATTGTGAAGTTACAAAGTCAAGGTTGTGTACTCCCTCCCGCCCCCTCCCCATCCCGGGTTTGAAGCACCCACCCATGTGTGTGAGCAGCCGGGCTTTGGAACCCATCCCTTCCTGAGGGGTGGGGGAGACAGTGCCTGCAGAAGCCCCCGAGCATGGCCAGGTGTGACCCCCACAAACCAAAGTCATGAAGCCAGATTTCTATTTGAAGATCAAGACCCTAAGGTGGCACAGCCGCAGGCTAGGAACACGTGGCAAGGGCTTCTGCTGAGAAGTTGTTGGGCTGCTCCCGAGAAGGTGAGCTGGGGCCTTCTCCTGCCGTCAGTACTGATGGACTCTCTTTGTTCTCACCATCTTCAGTAGGTCCAGAGAAAGGCTGTTCCCGGTTCCAGC